AGTCACTAGTGTGTTGTAGGATTCTGGTAAACTCGCAAGTAGATAGATAACTTTATCTTCTTCATCGATAGCATCACCAAGTACAGCTAGTCCATTGAACAGCTCAGTCATAACTTTGATGTGCTCTTGAACCGATTCGCCGTCCTTCATCTTAGTAGAATGAAGTTTCCTGCGTAGAGCCAACTTATTAGACCACGTCTTCTTCTGAAACTGGTTTTCTAAAGTACTCCAAACTTCATCTGGCTCGCTTGGTTCTCCTAAGAGGTAGAGTAACGAAGGATCAACTGACAGAACAATGATAGCCAGCGCCCAATTCTTTTTACTCATATAGCGTACGAGCTCTGCTTCTTCAGTCGGTTCCGTCTCTCTTTTTGTGACAACATCCCAGAGACCTTCTCTTATGAGAGCCATCTTGCACTGGATCTTCCACGTAGGATAGTTACTTCCTTGAAGTGGTATTATAGCTACTGTCTTTGCTTCGGCCATCGTGCTGGGCTCATAACCTATTGGTATAAATGCACTTGCCGCGGGATATACGATCGGTTAAGATCAAAGATTATATATATTACAGCAAAGAACTACAGACAAAACGACAGACAAAATGACAGACAAAAGAGTACAGAGCACAAGCTCCTTTTATACAAAAATCAAAATTAAATCATTACATAAGTGTAATGATACTAAACATAGTAACAATAATAATTTAACACAAAATCTTAATTAGTTAACACATTAAGTCCTAATCACTATTACTCAGCAGTCACTGTCTATCAGCTAGTGCCATACTCCCACAGTGTATACACGTGTGCTCAGTGTCCTTGTGCTTCTAACTATGACTGGAAGACTGCATGTGATACGCTCGATGTGATATCATCCTCTGAAGACTTAACAATAACACTCAGTGTCAGTCTCTGTTCTATTGCAATGAATCTACTGTTCAACAATCATGACCTCTCTCTATTACTTAGGACTCATTTTAAACACTTGGTAGCAAGTCGGCTATAAACTGGACATGGAATTATGGCGTGCCTTAGCAAAACTCAGTTCAAAATGAAGGACATATCAACCAGTTACTGATAATATTTAATGCCAGTGCATACTATCAAATATGATTGAATGAAATATTTTATGAGTATAGTATTAGTACAGGGTCACTTGTAAAATTTGTCAATATTAAAGAAAAGAGATATCTTCAGTTTATAATTTTCCTGATGCATAGTATGTATGTATTTATATTGTTTAGAAAGTTTGAGCTTATTCCGATCAAAATTATATTTTTTCAAAGTGAATAATTTGCCAAAAAGTTAAAGCCAAATTTCACCAAAATTGAATAGGAAATTTTTTTGCATTAAAAAAAATTATCATGCATATGCATGCACTTATATTGCATAGTAAGTTTGAGATGATTCTGTTAAAAATTGGATTTTTTATAAATTTTAAAAAGTAGCATCAATATTGGCTATATATACAACATACTTTGTGATAATTAAGGTAGTATCAATTGGAGGCAATAATTTTCTTAAAAATGGTATAATAGCTTGAAAAAAATTATATTTGTCACAATTTCCCTCAAGCTTTTGCCATAACATAAGTACATGTGTAATGTATCAGAAAATGTAGTAAAATTGGTTGTGATTTTATAGCCATTTTTGGGAAAACTATGTGCTTTTAGCTTTTGCTTTTTTCAGAAAATTTACTATTTAAAATTGCTGCATATCTCAAAATTAATTTTTCTGTTGGAATCAGCTTAATGTCAGTATTAATAATAACTAATCATTTCTTATTATTTATTATAGGTTGTGGACCTGAGGCTGAACTCATCATCTCAAGGACTGATCTCTCATTCATTATACTGAAGATCTATGGACTGGGTTTAGGAACTAAGGACTGTAACACTATAAGACTGGTTTAATTAATTGAAATCATTGTTGAGTTGTACTCTACATGTATGGCTGAAGTGTATTTCTTATTTTATTGTCATTTTTCATGATTTAATCTCATTTCTGTTTATAAGTCATTGCACCTGCTTCTGCATTAATGGCTCTCGCAATAATTTTAATCAAAATTCATAATAATCAATGATAAAAAGACAACTTTGTGTATTAAACCAAAAAGCTAAAATTATAAACAATAATGTTATGTAATTCTTTATAGTCTTCAGTTAATGTACAGCTTCAAACAGCAAACAATTAACCTATAGCAATGACAACATATTTAACAATACTATACTTAGAATACTTCTCAATGTAGTCTTCAATAGCAGAGAATTGTACTTATCCTCTTAGTGTCATTAACCTAACAATGGAATGTAATTCATCATACATAGTTACTGTTAGTATCTATTCTTCTTGTATGTAGTGCTCTTAGCATCACTAGCAGTAGTAACCACTAGTGATCCCAGGCAGTGTCACGTGGAGGTGGCACTACATTGCTGCCCACACTAGAACAGAGAACAATATAATTATATTGACACATACCTAATGTACTTGAACCTTTAACAGGAACTTGCTATAACCTTAGGAAAGAGAAGGTTAATACATGACACATACTGTAAGATATGTCCATTTTTAAATATCTGAACGTGTGATTTTGGAGAGGGAATTTTGGTGAATTTGGCATTTTGATAATAGCCATTCACCAAAATAAAACCCACCATTATGAACCATTATGTACACATGTACATGCTCAATGGGACATGGACACAAATTAAAACACCAAAATTTAGCAGTTCAACAAATGCCACAACTTCAAATACATGATAGTTATAAAACAGTAAAGAGTGCTGTATGGCTGATAATGGCACGAGGAGTGGAGTCGAGACAGCCAATACAGCTATGTGTATAGCTTTGGATAATTTTGGAATTTTTTGAAATGGCTGTAACTTGAAAAATTGAAGTAGGAATCACCTCAAACTTTCTACACAGCATAAGGACATTAATATGTATCAGATAATGTAATAAAACTTTGTAGTGATATGGAGCCATTTTTTGGAAAAAACCATGTCCCAAAAGGATACTCGATCATCTACATTTCACAAGTTATCTTTTAATTTTACTTCTCATCACTCCTCACATCACACTTTTTTCACCCTCTTCCCTCATTTATGGAATTCTCTTCCACCTGTAAAAATCTCTCTTTCTAAAGAAACTATTAAATTACACGTAAAGAAAACTTTTTGGAATCACTTTATTGTTCATTTTGACCCTAATAATGTTTGTTCTTATCACTATGTATGTCCTTGCTTTTCTTGTGCCAATCTTCCTGTAAACTCTATGTATTCCTGATTTGTTTATGTTAGTAGTTATTTCATTTTATTTTTATTTTTATTATTTCCTTATTTACTATTCTTATTTTCTCCTTTTTTTTTCTCTCTCTCTATCTGTTTAATCTTTTTTTGTTTGGCGGTCAGCTCAGGAAGCTGGCTGTCCATCTGTATACATTTGTATACAGTAAAGTTATTTAAAGTTAAAGTTAAAGTAAAAGTTAAAAGTTAAAAGCCTTGGGTATTTTTCAGAATTTTGGTGTTTTCTTAAAATGGCCGTAGCTTGAAAAGTTGAAGTCGGAATCACCTCAAACTTTCTACACAGCATAAGGACATCATTATGTATCAGTAAATGTAACAAAAATTGGGCTGATTTTTTGGGAAAAACCATGGGCTATAGCCTTGGGTAATTTTGAGAATTTTGGCGTTTTCTTAAAACGGCCGTAACTTGAAAAATTGAAGTCGGAATGACCTCAAACTTTCTACACAGCATAAAAACATCAATATGTATCAGATAATGTAATAAAAATTTGGGGTGACTTTTTGGCCATTGTTTTGGAAAAAACCATGAACTATAGCCTTGGGTATTTTTCAGAATTTTGGCGTTTTCTTGAAATGGCCGTAACTTGAAAAACTGAAGTCAGAATCAGCTCAGATTTTCTACACAGCATCAGGACATTAATATGTATCAGATAATGTAATAAAATTTGGGATGACTTTTTAGCCATTTTTTTGGAAAAAACCATAGCCTTGGGTATTTTTCAGAATTTTGGTGTTTTCTTGAAATGGCTGTAATTTGATAAATTGAAGTCGGAATCAGCTCAAATTTTCTACACAGCATAAGGACATTAATATGTATCA